AATTCTGATATATTCAAAAGTAGGTCACGATGATCTACTTTTTCGGCGATATTATCCAAAACCAAAGATGCCCCAATTAGCTTAACAATTTTAGGTTAATAATTACTCGAGATACTAAAATATAGCCTTAAAATGTCAAAAGTAGGTAAAAGTGACCTAATTTTTCGTTTGCTTTCCTCGAAAGCCCAAGAAGCATCAACTGACCTGACAAAGTTTGATGATTGTAAGCCAAAAAGTACCCGAGATACTTAAATACAGCCATAAAAATTTCAAAAGTAGGTCACCGTGACCTACAATTTGATTGACGTTTTCCAAAGTCTCAAGTTTGATGATCACATATCTGAAAGAATTCAAAATATGCCTTTTAAACAACTTGAAAAGAAATCTGAAATGCCTCCAAAATTCAAAAACTAGGTCACATTGACCTACTTCTATAAAAATACGTTTTAAGGCCCCAAGATGCATAAGATACTTCAACTTACAAAATTTGATGATACTAAACCTCGCAGTATCTGAAATAAAGGGATTAAATGTTTTAGAAAAGATTAGCCATAAAATTCAAAAAGTTCAAATTCAAGTTGACGCTGTTTGAGGACCCAAGATGCATCAACTGACAAAGTTTAATTATCATAGGCTTTAAATTGTATAAGATATGCCTCCAAATCAATTTGAAATCTAATGCCCGCAAAATTTAAAAAGTAGGTCACTATTATGTACTTTTGAGTTAACATGATGTAAAGTCGTAAGATGCATCAACTTACAAGATTTTATGATACTAGCAATAGTAAGCAAAATATAAATGTTTTTATTAAGTGTAAATTTAAATCAACTTTGAAGTGACCTTGAAACCACACCCTTTTCCCCACGGCAATTCCACCTGCAAATTTTAATCTTCAACATATCCTGATCATAGTAAGTTTGGTGAAAATCTGCCAAGTGGTTCTGGAGAAGAAGATTTTTTAGCAACCAGTTCTTTTTGGTTTTTTTCCGATTATCTCCCCTTGTTTTAGGGTCCGAACCCTAGTTTTAGTATAAATAGTAGCCCTGTGACAAATTTGAAACTGATTCGCCAGGGTTCTTGAGTTACGGCTCATATTACAAAAAGTTTACACACACCACACAAATGGCCATGGCATTTGCTCTTTGAGCCTTTGGCTTAGAAGAGCTAAAACTCAAAGTGGTCCTAAAATTAAGTCATGAGGAACACCAGCATGTAAAGTTACGATAAATCACCCTAAAATACCTACATTCAAGATAAATCTAAAGCAAATAAAGGTGATTATTATACCCCTCACTTGAAAAGCGGGAGGTTACATAGTAATCGGTATGTCCGTTCATTCGTCTGCAGGTCCGTCCGTCTGTCACGCTTTGGGGTACCCATCTCTTATCCCCTACTCCTATTATACATTGAATGAAAGTTGATGAAACTTTCACAGAATCAATATTGCTTTTGCCATTGTGCACCTTTTATTTTACTTTTTGATGCGACAAATATGTTGGGTTACTTAAAGCAAAACACGGACACTGCCAATATATTCATATGGGGGTGGGGGGGTGGGGGGGTGAGGGGTATCATTCATGTTGTGAGATCATTGCTCAAAGTACCTCTAGTTTTACTAAAAAACAGTTTGCTTTGGAGAAGAAAAAACTTTTTGTACCTGAAAATATACATATAGTTAAGCATTACTGTAAACAGGAAAAAATTCGCCCATGTTCTAGTTTCGCCCCTTTTGTCCTTCTCACAGCAGGGTTAATTTAAAATGGGGCAAATTAAAAAAAAACACAGTATAATTTCTTAAACAGAACCGAGATTGGGCAATTTGAAATGGGCATATTTAATTGCAAGCTTAAAAGGCAATTATTAAACGGGACAAAAAAACCCTTAGTAACATAGAGTACTACAAAATGTTCAACACTAGCAATTGAGGATGCTCAGGTTAAACCTACATGTACATATATACAATGTTAATGTAATAATTCAAGGATTTCAGTTACTTTAATTAAGGTTCATAACGCATGCAATTGGTGTTAACATACTAGACTCTTCTGTGGAGAAAACTGTCAAAATGAACACACATATTTCATTTATACACATGTATAAATGTTATGTAACAATATTTAAAGTTATAAAACCACAAAAATACATAATAACTGTAAAGACTAATCTTTATTATCCCTTCCCCCCCCCCCCCGCTTATATATATAGCAGGTAGAGGGTATATAGTAATCGGAATGCCCTTCTGTCTGTCTGTACATTCGTTCGTCTCTTATGCTTTGGGGTACCCATCTCTTATCCGCAACTCCTTTTATACCCCTGAATGAAATTTGATGAGACTTTCACAGAATCTTGGTTATAAAACACGATTGTGCATCTCTTATTTTACTTTTTGATCCGACACATATTTTGGGTTTTCCAGAGCGAAACATCGACACTGCCATTTTTTCTATAGATTATTGAAGGGTGCCCATCTCTTATTGGCAATTCCTCCTATACCACTGGACAAAATTTAATACTTTCAAAGAATCTCTTTTACATGATGCCATTGCACAACTCCTACTTTACTTTTTGATCTGACACTTAATTATTTCGGCTCTCCAAGAGCAAAACAGGGACTTTTTCATAATTATCATATGGGAGGCGGGGTTACTATCATTTTGTGAGCTCATTGCTCACGGTACCTCTAGTTTTTGCTATTATTGTTTGAGCTAATACCAAGATGTACTGTATATCTGTTACTCATTCACAAGCTTTACAAAAAAACCTTACATGATAAATTTCTCAAATGGCCCCTTAAGAATACCTTAAGTTGACTGTACATAAATGTTTACTTTGCACAGTGATACACATCACAATTATTCTTGATTTTCAATTTCATTTAAATGTTATTATAATATCCCCCCCCCCCCCCCCCCCGCTTGAAAAGTAGGAGGGTATATAGTAATCGGTAAGTCCGTCCATCTAGCTGTCTGTATGTCCGTCCATCTGTATGTTACGCTTTGGGGTACCCATCTCTTATCCGCAACTCCTCTTATACCACTGAGTGAATTAAAATGAAACTTTCAAAGAATCTTTATAACATATTGCCATTATGCACCTCCTATTTTACTTTTTGATCCGACACATATTTTGGGTTTCCCAGCCACAACAAAACATGGACTTTTCCATTATAATCATATGGGAGGCAGGGGTATCATTTAGTGAGTTCATTGCTCACAGTACCTCTAGTTTTAAGCAAATTTCATTTAAAACTGCTTATTTGCAAAGGAATTATTACATTGCTATATAAGTAATAATTATATGTCTTATGAAAAATCAGTCAAAGTAGTTATAAATTATTTAAGTTCCTTCTGTAGTAATTGATCCCCTCTCTGCATACATCAAAAAAGTTCAATCTTATACATGTATAAACAAGAAGTCTATGGGCCCATTGGGCCTGAAATCACTCTTCTGATAAATCATTCAACCCTATCACTTCAATTCTAAGCCTTTTTGTATATACACTGAACCAAACTTCTAAGTGTTCACCTAACATTTTTGAAGTTTTAAAGAACAAATGCGAACAAAAAATAATGTCTTCATTTCTTGGTTAATGATGCATATTTAAGTTCGATGTTGCGTAAATTTCATGTTAGTATCTCGTCAGAATTTTAAGCAAAGTGTCAAGTAAATGGTGTACCCTCAAAATGAAAATTCACACAAAAAAATCTCGATTGTGTAAGAACCACTACTCGCTCTTATTACTAAAAGAAAATCTTTATTGTTGGATACCATGTACCCCTGAATAGGAGATTGACCCATCTGCTGTCACACCTACATGTACTGCATTGATCTTTCCAAACAATTGAAATTGTGAGAAAAAGGGGGCTTGGACATTTCTTTTAAAATCCCAAATGTGTTCAATGGGATTCAGATCCGGGAATTTGACAGTGTATCGTCACACAAATGCCTTTTGGTCAATATCCTTGGGTTTTTAGCACGTTAGTGCGCCGCTTTCAGGATAATTCAGACTGTTTGAGCTGATATAAGACTGCCTTGAGCACCAATTTTTTATCATATCCGTACGATTAAAATGATTTGTTTCCATGTTTTTAACATTTTTGCAGGACAGTTTAACACTATTTTAACCTGGTGTGACGCGAAATTTTCTTATCAGAAGAAGATCAAGGTCACTTCCGGTGTGGTTAAATTTTGTCAAAAACTTTCAAATTGTGATAAATTAGTGATGAAAAATGATCACAGCCTATAGAAAAATGTGTTTAAATGGGTTTTGATACTGTTTGACAATTTTGAAAAGTAATATGAAGTACAATTAAGCACTGAAATAAAAGTGAGTAAAACGTGGTGTAAAGATGGTCCAGATAGCAACATTCCAACGGCTCTATCTTTTATCTCAATGGTCATTTAACCAATGTTTTGTGTTTTTTAGTGAAACCAGATTTTGAAATATGATAATGATCACAAAAAGATGCTTATTACAGAAAACACATGCCGCAAAGTACAAATTTATTGTTTTTAAGCTTCGTCACGGAACATTGGTTTTCATCAGTGATATTGAATTTTCTTTCTACAATTGTTGAAAAGACTCATTTGTTGATATTATTTGAAAATATCATACTATTCTATAAAGTAGTTTTTATGTAAAGAAATTTATGAAAGTGAACACTTAGAAGTTTTGTTACGTGTAGATATTATTAATAATTTGAAATTTATAAAGCAGGTTTGAAGATTTACTTTTTTTGTTTGACACAATACCAGGACCTCAGTCAACTTGGAAAGTCTGATGATTCTAAGCCTCTTATAATACGAAACATCAGATATATTCAAGGCATGCGCAGGTTAAATGCAGATCAAAGTGACCTTTTTAGCTAACACATTTTGAGGACTTAAGTGAATCAAATAACAAAGTTTGAGAATTATTAGCATCTTAGTATTATCCTAATAATAATTGAAAAACAACTATGATTAGTTGCAAAAAATGCCTCACAATAACTATTTTTTTATTGAAAACTTTGATACCATTAGATACATTAACTGACAACAATTAACTTTAAAAGCCTCTAAGCATTCCTAATTTGAGATGAAATTTTAAAAAGAACTCCTTTTTCTGTAGAAACACTCTTTGGACCTGAAAAAAGTTTATGATTATAAGTCATTTATAACCCCAAACATTTAATTAAATCCTTAAAATCCCAAAAGTAAATCACTATGACCTATTTTCGTACACATGCTTCGAAGACACATATTTCAAAAACAAACCATTGAATTCATACATGTATAAGTAAAGTCCACTCCATGACCTAATTCTTGAGTGATAAACTCTCTTAATCTAAGATGCAACAAGTAACAAAACTTAAATGTACCTAATTTTAGCAACATTTTTTCATTTTCTCCCAAAATATGTATAGTTCACAGTGACCAACAAAGATCTTTGCCTTATGAGTTGGCATTGTCAATTAGATGAAACCTTCATAAAATATCTTCACACCTCCTCATGCTGGATAAAACTCTTGCCTTTGTGTGACGTGTCATCTTTGATCTCTGTCCCTGTATCCCCCATAACCCCTGTTGTCATGGTAATGACCTTGGTTATAACCACCATAACCAGATCTGTCACGATCATAACTGTCTCTGTATCCACGGTTATCCTCCCTGTTACCATGGTGATGATCCCTGTAACCCTGTTGATGACCTCTTCTGTTGTAGTTGTCACGGTGATAACCTCCACGTCTTTCCCCTCGGTCTTGGTATCCACTTCTGTAAAATTATTTCAAACTGCTAATTTGAGCAGAATACTCTTCATCTTGCTAAGCAATGCTAAATATTATCAAAATCTCTGAACAGAAGGAAGCAATATAAATTATAAGCATTGTTTTTCTTCCAAATTTGATGTGGATGTGTGGGACTGATCATCCAGGGGAAAGAAATTTTTAAAACATTATTTAACAAGAGTGGGGGAATGAATTATTTCCCATTCTATCTACTTGCCTGTTACTTATGAAAGCAATTTTTTAATTCAATGATGTTTTTCAAATTAAAATTAAAGAAAATAAGTTTCTCTCTATTAAAGTTGTTTATACAACTAAGCACATGAAATATATATTATTCCAAATAAAGAATAAAACATCTCTAACACAAGAGTATTAATCAGAATTTTTTTTTTTTTTCAAATCACTCTTTTAAGTCATTAAAAAACTAGAAATATGTCCATAGGACATGAATGCCCCGCCGAGGATGTATTAGTAAAGCAACATGAAAATTTGTATGTGTATAAAATTTGATCAGAATATCTTGAATAGTGATGCAGCTGAATTGCTTGTTTGGAAAATATAGGTCAGATCCAGCATCCGAAGCAAGTCTGGTAGTGTCCATCTCTAGATGCATCATCCATGCAAGTTTGGTTAGGGCAGGACTTATAGTTACTTGGGAATGAAAATATAGGTCAGATCCAGCATCTGAAGCAAGTCTGATACTGTCCATCCCTAGATGCATCACCCATGCAAGTTTGGTTCGGGCAGGACTTATAGTTACTTGGGAATGAAAATATAGGTCAGATCCAGCATCCAAAGCAAGTCTTGTAGTGTCCATCCCTAGATGCATCATCCATGCAAGTTTGGTTCTGGTAGGACTTACAGTTACTTGGGAATGAAAATATAGGTCAGATCCAGCATCCAAAGCAAGTCTTGTAGTGTCCATCCCTAGATGCATCATCCATGCGAGTTTGGTTCTGGTAGGACTTACAGTTACTTGGGAATGAAAATATAGGTCAGATCCAGCATCCAAAGCAAGTCTGGTAGTGTCCATCCCTAGATGCATCATCCATGCAAGTTTGGTCCAAGTAAGGCTTATAATTCCTTAGGAATAGACCTGCTCCAAAAACTTAAATCTGGTCACTCATCTGGAAAATGTAGGTCAGATCCAGCAAACGAAGCAAGTCTGGTAATGTTCATCCCAAGATGCATCATCCATGCAAGTTTGTATCAACATGTGAAGTTTGATAAATCAATCTTGAATGGTATGTTTAAAACTGAGCTAAACACTAATTTAACAAAAGTGAGGTCAAGGTCAAAGGAAAGGTCAAGGTCAAAAAATGTTGATGCAGTTGCATAGCTCTCATCAATATCTATCAGCATATGAAGTTTGATGAAAATATCTTGGATGGTTTCTTTGAAACTTAGCTTTGAGCAGAGCTAAACGCAAAGTGTGACGGAAGGACAGAAGGACGGAAGGACAGAAAGACGGAAGGACAGAAGGACGGAAGACGGACATGACAAACACTATATGCCCCGGCCATATTCATGGCGGGGCATAAATATGTTCACCTATTTCTGAAGTTTCCTCTGGACTTTTGGAACCAGTTTTTGACAAAGGGAGGGGGAGGGGAGGGGGTGTTAACTGTCGCCATATACTCCTCATCCTCTTCTGTGTATCTGGACTTAAACATCTGGTCATACAAGGCCAGTAATTCCTCTGTTGTCTTCTGGTCTGTGGTCGATTCTGATGACATTCTTTAAACTGGAAGATAAAGGCCCTTGTTTATACACACCCTTGTTTATCCATTTCTGTCATTAAGTTCACTTTGGAAACATGTTTTACTCTCTATTGAACAGGCCCAGCATAATACCCTGAAGAAAGGTATATAGCTTGATAAAGCTATATAGCTTTCACAAATACCTTGATATAGGTATTTTTTGTAGAGAAAATACAAAAGAAAATTCTTAAAAAATTTAAATTTTAAAGTCGACGTATAACGAGTTGTTGTGAGCGTGTTCACTTGTGCATAAAAAGTACTCGGGTATCAAAAAGTTTAAAGACAGCATAAAAGAACGTACGTCTTCTCACAGGAGATGCTTTTATACTGATTTCTTCCTGTTTGGGTACATTACTTGAGTGAACTTAGAACTAGACTTTATTTATTCTTTAGAATTTTATTTGTATTTTCATTACACAAAATACCTTAATTTGTAATACCTTGATAAGGTTATATAGCTTTATCAAGCTATATACCTTTATCAGGGTATTGTGCTGGACCTGTTGATGTCACATTTGTACTTGGGTCTTGGTTTAAAACAAGTATAAATACTTTTTTTTTTTACATATCAATAATTAAGGTACATGTACAACCAAGACCCAAGTACATGTGGTTGAGAAGTTCATGGCCCTCAAACACTGGCGCTTGTTTCATATAGTAAGCTTAATTATCTTCTATATAATATTATGTTATTATATAGCAGAAAACTAAGCTGACTGTATGAAACAAGCGCCTGTGCCCTAAAAACAAGACATCAACTTCTGAATAGAGAATAATCAGCCTGTTTAAGTAAATGGTACCATGATTACAACTTTTGCAGGTCCAGTACAATCAGTACATTTAGCTACGTAGGTAGAATTACCTACGTAGCTTTATTTACCTACCTCAGGTAGCTTTATTTAGCTATTTCAATGCAACTTTTCTTTTTATGGAAAAGAGACAAAAAATCGCAGTTAAATGACTATTGATATTTATACTAGGTTGTCTTTAAAAAACAATCCAAAGCAGAGATAGTTAAAACATTGCTGCGTTTGGTCAATTTAGAGCAAAACATGTAATTCCATTGTTTGGTTATCTGTCCGTGCGGTGAGGCATGACTGAGTATGATTACTTCACATTGTGCTGAATAATTACCAACCTATTATCATGTTAACCAGAACTGGACTTCTTTGTCATTTCATTCAAGGAGTAACTGTCATACATAGCCCCAAAACTTTCAGAACTTTGATTGCAATTGCGCAGAAAAAGACATTTCTTCAAGAGGGAATTTTTCATGAATTGTTTTCACATGAGTTCAAAGTTGAAAATGATCACTGCATCAACATGATAGTTTTTGCACATCCTGAGAAAAATGCTTTTTTATAGAAATAAATTCATTTGATAGCTAAATCAAGCTACCTGAGGTAGGTAAATAAAGCTACGTAGGTAATTCTACCTACGTAGCTAAATGTACTGATTGTACTGGACCTGTTTTGAATTGCACGAAATAAGGGACACTGTTGTTGTTTTTTTTTTTTTTGCTTACCAAAACTGATTGGACAAGGGCTCGCCGTCTAGAACTAGAACATATATTTCACGGTATATTCAGTCTAACGTGAAAGTAAGATCGCGTTGAGGGAAAAAATTCGAGTGTGACTAAAATGGGTAGCGAAACCCGGGCCGGGCCGGGAATTTCAAAACTGAGAGCCGGGTTTTTGATAATTACGAGATAAATACTCATTCTTTCTTCACGAAATTTACAGACATAGTTTATAAGTATAGGTGTTGCCTTCGCTGAGAATTTTAAGTCAAAATGTTTTGTTTTTCGATGATTATCGCCGATTGTCCTTTTCCAGGTGACTAAAATGGGTAGCGAGCCCGGTTGACTCATTTTGGCGATTTTAAGCTTAATGCATCGAAAGTGTTTGTGATATTTGCATTTAATGGTTGTTTATTAACTTCAAATAGTTAAATTGTTCAATCATTATGAAATTAAATGTCAATTATTAGGGTTTTTGTCATTTTTCATAGACCCGGGACAGGTCAAAACCGGACGCGTTTGCCCGGGACAAATTATATAATTCCGGATTGCCACAGAAATAATGAAGATTTTTTTCAGTCCCTGACCTAGATACATCTAAGAAATAAATTGGAAAAAATTAATATAAATATGCAAATAAAAAAAGAGTCATTTATATTTCAATTATATGTCATTATCTGATAAGTATTTCGGAAATAAAAGGTTTTTCCCGGGTGAACGTGTCGGGTTTCGACCAATCCCGGGTGTTCAAAAAATGCGTATATTTTCAATAATCGTGATTTATTATTGCAACAGTTAAATGTTTTAGGTAGTTTAAGTTCAATTTCAAAGATCCAAATGAAATAATTGTAAATATGCTGCCGAAATTAAGTTTAAATCGCCAAAATGAGTAATCCGGGCTCGCTACCCATTTTAGTCACTTGGAAAAGGACGATCGGTGATAATCATTCAAAAACACAACATTTTGACCTAAAACTTTCAGCGAAGGCCAGTCCTGGAATAATAAACTATGTCCGTAAATTTCATGAAGAAAGAATGAGTATTTATTTCGTGATTATCAAAAACCCGGTTTTCGTTATCGAAAATCCCGGCCCGGCCCGGGTTTCGCTACCCATTTTAGTCACACTCAAAAAATTCTACTTTCTCTTTTGGTTTTTAAAGGCAACTCAAACGCTGAAATGTCGTACAGTGCAACCATCATGATCAGCCATTCAGCCTTTAGTCACTATATTTTTTAATATTTTGATTTGATGCCAATGAAATGCTTTTTAAGGAAGTTTAAACATACTTGAAGTAAGGTTCACAAGTACCCCTTAAATTATAACAGAATTCTTAGAAGTTTTTTTCGAGTCATTTTACGTACAATTGATTTCAATTGAACGCATGCGAACAAAAAACAAAATTCGAAGAGAAGTTGATTACAGAGATGGCAACTAGATAATTTAATGTGCACTATGAACAAATCATAGTATTATCTACCTAGTATGTAAATTAAAGGTGGGTGTCAGAATCAAGTGAAACCTCGTATGTTTTAACGTTACAAACTTACAAGTCACATTTGCAAATTTGTGCCAGTGTGGATCTGATGTTGAAATAGTTAGAATAATCTAACTGTGTCTCGGTACAAGTCCGTAGGACATTTATCATTTTAACGATAGAACATTCTATCTAATGTTGAAAGTAGTCAGGTAGTTGAAACAGAAAGTGATAAAAAGTCTGCTCCACATAACTGTACTCGGCTGTAGATTTGCATCCTAGCATGTTCCACTGGATGATTCTTGTTTTTATTCTCTTAATTTCAAACAATCTACTTTTCCCTGTGTTTAGTAAATGTGTTATCGTACGAACTATCTAGTGTATGTGTAACCTTTTTATGTACGACTGAATATGTACCTGTTTACCCTTAGTTTTAGCGCCATACTGAATAAACGTGTTTGTGTGAACTCGGTGTTGTAATTGGCAATTAACGAACCTAGCCATCCAAACATGGTGTCAGAAGTGTTCCTAGTGTAGAAAAATGCCGAAGTTCAATCCACCTGAGTGTTTCGCCTTTACCAGGCCAAATGAATGGCCGGAATGGAAACAACGATTCACGAGGTTTCAGATCGCCACGAAGCTGACTGACGAGGATGAACAAATACAGATAAGTTCATTGATATACGCCATGGGACCAGAGGCAGAAGGAATATTCAAGTCTTTCGCACTCGCTAATGGTGACGAGAAGAAATTCAAGAAGGTACTTGAAAGTTTCGACAAGTATTTCGTTCCTAAGAAAAACGTGATTCATGAGCGCGCCAAATTCCACATCCGGAGCCAGCGCCAGGGAGAGTCAGTTGAGGAATTCGTCAGAAGTTTACACGAGTTGGCGGCACACTGTGATTTTAGAGACAAGAGCGACCAAATCCGAGACAGGTTAGTCGTGGGCATTATCGACAAGGAACTTAGCGAGAAACTACAGCTTGAATCTGAACTTACACTCACAAAAGCCGTCGAGATGGCACGTAATTCAGAGTTAGTGAAACATCAGATTAAAGATTTACAATCTAAGAACTTAGATGCAGTGAGATTTAGGCAGCAGAATGGACAACAATCTAAACACAATTACAGCAGACAGCCTAAAGCTAACGAAAGAGTTTACAATAACTGTGACAAGTGTAATATGAAACACAATCCTGGAAACTGTCCGGCATCAGGGAAGAAATGTCTAAAGTGCGGGAAAAAGGGACACTTTAAGATAGTTTGTCGAAGTAAACCGAAACACCTAGAGGAAGTTCAAGGTGCATGTTCATCACCAGATTCATTCTACATGGGTTCTATTGACCTGAGCGATTCAGACAATACAGACGCATGGACAGTAAAGCTGAAGGTGTGTCGGAAGTACATTACATTCAAGATCGACACTGGTGCTGACACATCCGTGATAACCGAAGCGAAGTACAATTCATTGCCAGTAAAGCCCAAACTACAGGCTTCGACAAATCAGCTGTACAGCCCAGGAGGATCAGTGGAGTGTAAAGGGATGTTTGTTGCTAAGACTTTTCACAAGAACAATGAGTTTCATTTTCGAGTGTACGTGCTTAAGAACTCTAACAGTGGTTCTAATTTGCTCAGTCGAAGTGTCGCACACCGTATGGGACTCGTTATGAAAATCGAGGAAATTCGGGATGTGTTTGGTACACATGGATGCGTTAAGGGCCCACCCGTCAAGATAACACTCAAGCCAGGAGCCACACCATATTGCGTTACGACAGCTCGCAGGATTCCATTTCCATTGATGCCGAAGGTCGAGGCCGAACTAAACCGCATGGAAAACGCTGGAATCATTGCGAAAGTCACAGAACCGACAGATTGGTGTGCACCCATCGTGACAGCATTCAAGAAAAACGGGGATGTTCGCTTGTGTGTGGACCTTAAGAAACTAAACCAGGCAGTCAAACGTGAACATTATATGTTACCCAACTTGGACGACATTGCCCCAAAGCTGTGCAAGGCTACTGTCTTTTCGAAACTTGATGCTAGTAGTGGGTTTCACCAGATACCTCTAGATCCAGAGAGTTGTCACCTTACTACCTTCATAACTCCGTTTGGACGGTACTGCTTTCAGCGGGTTCCATTTGGTATTACGTCAGCCCCTGAAATATTTCAGCGTCGTATGTCGGAGATATTAGCAGATATTGAAGGAACGGATGCCATAATGGACGATATCATCATATATGGGAGTACGGTGGAGGAGCATGACGAGCGTCTGGACCGCGTGCTGGACCGTATCAAGGAAGTTGGTCTTAAACTCAATAAGAAGAAATGCGAGTTCAGGAAACAGAGCATTGAATATTTTGGACACATGATTAGTTCAAATGGTATCAGTCCATGTCAAGAACGTGTGCGTGCAATACGTGAGTTGGCTGCACCAACAAATGTGACTGAACTTAAGAGAATTCTTGGAATGGTGAATTATCTTGGTCGATTTTTACCAAACCTTTCTACGGTTATGCACCCCCTTACTGATCTTTTGAAGAGTGACTCAGTATGGATATGGGACAACCCCCAGGAAGAGGCCTTCAAAAAAGTGAAGGATATGCTAACAGAAACACCTGCATTAGCCTTCTACAATTCTTCAAAGCCAGTTGTGATTAGTGCAGATGCCAGCAGTTATGGCCTAGGAGCCGCTATATTTCAGCAGTTTGATGGTCAACTTAAACCTATTGCGTTTGCATCGAGGACACTGTCACCGGCAGAAACCAAATATGCACAAATCGAGAAGGAGTGTTTAGCATCTGTATGGGCCTGTGAGAAGTTCGAGCGCTACATCATTGGACTCGACTCATTCAAGCTCATCACTGACCACAAACCTCTCGTCCCGCTCATTAACACTCAAGCTCTAGATAGGACACCTGTGAGATGTCAGAGACTTTTGATGCGTTTACGCCGATTTAATCCAATAGCAGAACATGTGCCAGGGAAAAATCTCGTGGTTCCCGACACTCTTTCCAGGAGCCCGCTAACTGGAAACACTGAGGATACAGAGGAGGAAGTCAATCTCTATGTAGACTGTGTCGTAGAGAATCTTCCCATATCAGATCAACGACTAGAGCGCATTCGATTAGCTACAGCAGATGATCCAGAGTTGTCTGAAGTTTTGAAGAAGACTCAGAACTGGTGGCCAGACCATGAGAGATCACTGAAAGCAGAAATCCGACCATACTTTTCCGCAAGATCCGAACTGTCTGTCTGGAATGGAATTCTAATGTACAGAGACCGAATTGTTATTCCGGAGGCTCTTAGACCAGAAACATTGCAAGACATACATTCAGGACACTTAGGTCTGAACAAGTGCCGTGAACGCGCACGAGGAGCTGTATGGTGGCCAGGAATATCAACCGATATAGAGCGTACCGTAAAGTCCTGCGAATTCTGTCTTGTTCATCAACCAAAACAGAACCGAGAACCGTTGAAGACTACAGTCCTTCCAGATCGTCCGTGGCAAAAGATAGCTGCAGATCTGTGTGAGCTGCAGGGCAAACATTTCCTAGTAGTTACAGATTATTTTTCTCGTTACCTGGAAATTGCGTATCTGGATTCGTTGACTAGTGCTCACGTAATTGGAAAACTCAAGAACATATTGGCTCGTTGGGGTATTCCAGAGGAATTGGTAACCGACAACGGCACCCAGTTTACATCAGACTCTTTCAAGAAGTTCGCAGCTAAGTACGGATTCGCGCATACAACCACCAGTCCTCACTACCCGCAAGCAAACGGCGAGGCCGAGAGTGCTGTTAAGACTGCGAAGCGTATACTACAGCAGGATGACATCTTTGTTGCGCTTATGGCGTACCGTTCAACACCCATCTCAACCACAGGAGTCAGTCCAGCCGAACTCATCATGGGACGTAGGATTCGAACCGTTGTTCCAGTCAAACCGTCTTCACTAGCACCAAAGTGGCCAGACTTGGACCAAGTGAGGAGACAGGACGCACGAACGAAGGAAACTTCAAAATATCATTATGACAATCGATTTGGGGTTAGGAAACTCCACCCGCTTGGACCCGGAGACCGAGTTCGCATCAAGACCGACAAAGAGAAACAGTGGACAGATAGTGGCACAATCACTAGCGCAAATTACAAAATTCGATCATACCTAGTGGAAACCGATCATGGAACATTGAGGAGAAATCGGAGGCACTTGCAGCATACTGGATACGTGAACACCGAATTGCCACATACCATAAATGTGCCGTATCCGTTAACCGACAGTAAACCAAGTGTTTCGTCTGACGTTGAGCCACCCTCTGAGCCGCCTAGCCAGGAAGTTACATCTCCTTCCGTAAAGTCCAAAACCGTAACTCGTTCAGGACGCGTCGTTCACAAACCAATAAGATTCAAAGACTACGAATGAACATTTGTGAACTCTGTGTTATAATGATCTGATTTGTATGTAACAAGTAATGCATGCAAGATGAGTTTTATTTGTAGCTTATGTTTTATTCTAGTCATTTTCTGTGAAATCCTAGTCATAAACTTTTAGAGGGGAGATGTTTAGTAAATGTGTTATCGTACGAACTATCTAGTGTATGTGTAACCTTTTTATGTACGACTGAATATGTACCTGTTTACCCTTAGTTTTAGCGCCATACTGAATAAACGTGTTTGTGTGAACTCGGTGTTGTAATTGGCAATTAACGAACCTAGCCATCCAAACACCCTGGGAGAAGGAAATTAAGGGAAACTTTGACTACAAATATGCTTGTCAAAATGAGATGTACCAGCAATATTTTTAATTTTTTTTATTTAGAGGTGTTGACGATGTTTGCGACGAGCAGTCAGTTTAAACACTGGATGTTCAGTAATGAGGCAGAGCTTCAGTCCCTCAGACAGGAGGCTAACGAGAGATACTTAGAGGAGTATGGGGCCAAAATGTCGGTAAAGATTTCATTTAACTCTGTTTATCACTTGATAATTGATCTATGTAATTAAGGAAATTTGCACTTGTACATGCTGCTTAAACATGTTCATGTTGACGGAGCTGGTTATATCAACTAGGATTTTTATTGTCGAATGAAAAGCCTGTTAATTTTGCATTGTTCTTTTATTGACTTATTCATTAAAGGAGTAAAAAGTTAACTAAGTTGAGGATGCATAAGTTCTTCTCAAAATATTATCAATTAGCTAGAACATTTACTGAAGTTTAATTTATTGATTATGATTCATGAGTAACATTTATCTCATTATTTATTCTGATTCCAGCCGGATCAGAGGAAAGCCTATTTTTTGACACCCTCTGAGGAGAGACATCTTTGCCGCCATTTTGAATACGTCCTTAAGGAGTTCTGTAGTCGGTTCCAGCCTCCTATGCCTAAATATGTCTTGGTAATGCTTAATCCTCATCTTTATTCTGTAATGTTGAAGACAGTCCTTCAACCCAGAAATTTCTTGACAAGCATAAAAAATGTAACCTCCTTTACCAAACATTAAAAACTAGCTATCTCATGGTGGTGATGGTGGTAGTGGACCCCCCCCCCCCCCCCCCCCCCCCCTCTTGATTTCTGCATGGAATTAATTGCCATTGTCTTTGTAAACGTTAACTTAATATTTAATTATAGAGAGGATAAATAAAGTATTTCAATTGTAGACTCGGTTCATTTTCATATAGATCTGCAGTGCAACATGTTCACTATGAAGAGAAGCATCAGATGAGTTAGAAAAAGAACAACTATATACATATAATACTTTGTATACACAATTTTTTACAAACACATGGATACTTATTTATCCATTTAAACACCATGTCATATATTTCAGGGTACCGCTCTTTGTTATTTCAAGCGATTCTACATCAACTGCTCAGCTATGGACTATCATCCTAAGGATGTCATGTAAGAGATATTGATGTACCAGGGTAATAGAAATTGATTTCAGAATTTATAGATTGATGATTAACATGTTCATACTTACAGGCTATATATAACCTATAGATTCTTAAACACTTTATATTAAAATTTTTAAGCTGCAGAGAATTTGTTCAATGACAGAAGATTTCTGAATTTTTGCCACAATTTTAGTTTTATTCTTGTGTCAGAAATATCTATAAATTTCTCATCTAATAGATTAAATTACATGAAGCCTCCCATGTTAATTTCAATAGTCCTTGCCCACTGATATCAGACACAAAGACAGCCGCCTGAGATTTACATGCATATTAGGCCTCCTTAGCTTCTGACCTTTGACTTAGTGAAATTCACATTCTGGTTGAATTACTGTAAACCAAGTTTTATTTGCGTGTGAGAAATAGCAATGAGTTCTGCGACCAACTTTAACTCACAAATATTATTTGCTGGGAACCCATTATTTTGCTTAGTATTTGTAGAGAATGTTTCCTTATTTGGAAACATTAATTGTTGCAAATTGATTTCAAACTGATCGCGAATAAAAAATGAAGTGAATAATAGTTGGTTTACAGTACATGTATTTAGAAATCAATTCACCTAATTTTTAATGAGTTAACAATGAGAAAACAAGTAGAAATGTAAATATTTGCTGACCATATCAATTAATACAATATGTTTATTATTTTGAATGTAGGTTGACCTGTGTGTACCTGGCCAGTAAAGTTGAAGAGTTCAATGTGTCAATCAATCTGTTTGTGGGGAACCTAAAGGGGGACCGGGAAAAGTTCGCCAACATCATCCTGACCTTTGAACTCTTGTTGATGGACAAACTCAACTACCACTTGCTGGTTCATAATCCCTACCGACCTTTGGAGGGGCTATTTATAGATCTCAAGGTTAGTGGTCAAGTACATTGATCTTGTCATTTTTTTTTCAAAAAGATACAGTTTACTTGGTTGTTTGCTAAATATATTGTTTTAAGAAAGTGATGTGGAATGTCCAAATTAAAATTGAAGATGAACAAAATGTAAGGAACTTCTTCATAATTATTTTGTGCAGAATTTGCAGTGAAGAAACATTTTTAACATTTCAGTATTCATGTAGGTCCTACATGTTTGTGTCAAATCGTTTAAAAAGGTCATTCATTCAGGAAAAAAAATTTAAGTGCATTTGCAAACAGTTCACTTCAAACTTGCATTAAGTAGAACAAAAACTGGTATAAATTCATGAAATATTTAAAACTGTTCATATGACTATGAATAAATAGATATTAAATCAGATAATTTGTCTGTGAATTGTAATGATTACATGAACCAGAAATGAGATTTCCAGATTCATGCTGTAAATAATAATAATGTGGAATTATTTTTATAAAAACAATAAAAATTATCCTTCTCTCTTTTAGACCCGATTCCGAGTCCTGGAGAATCCAGAGAAGCTGCGTAAAGGAGCGGAGGATTTCCTGGAGAAATCTCTGATGACGGACGTTTGTTTGTTGTTTGCTCCTTCTCAGGTAAACCCATATCTGGCTTAATGTACATCTAACTGAGAAATGATTTCAGTGCCAGATAAAACAAACTCTTTGTAAATATGTGTATTTATATATATATATTTTACATTTATCTTTAATGTATGCCACTTTAATTGTAATTTTGAAAATTAGCAATAAATGTTAAATTAAATGAAAGAGAATACTGTACAAGTGCAGTCAAATCTCATTATTTTGAACTCTTTGGAAATGAGAAAAATCTAAGGTTCTTAGATATTGAGGGTGAAATTTACAATACTTAGAGAAAAAGTGCCTTAGACTTCCAAATCACATATATGTATCCAAAGCATTTGAGATATCCATGTTCAAGATACTGGAGTTCAGCTGTAGAATATTACCATAAATTTCAACACTAAAAAAATAATAATACATTGTATGTGTTTATAAATGAAATGTGGATTCTATTGTAGATTGCCTTAACTGCTGTCTTAGTCAGTGCAGCTAAAGAGAAGGCCAACTTGGACAGGTATGTTTAAATATATAGATGGTTCCACTCTTCGCTATGTTACATTAATATATAGCTTATAATATGTGTACTAGAATCTGCCAAAGTAAGCATCATTCTACAGGCACTGTATAAAATGTCAAAAATAGATATGTTGTTTTGTAAGTCAATAAGAACCCTGAGTCAAGATGGATAACTCTGTATCTAAACTAAGTGTTATATGAGTATGATTGGCTATGTACTCTTTGGCATAAGCAGTCTTCACAAAAACTTTTCAAACTAACTGGCCAGTCGGACCAGTGAACTTTCAAAATTTACTGGCCCACCAAAATTTTTACTGGCCCTTTTATTAAAAATTAAATAAATACATTTTCATAATTGTAAATTTATACATGTTTACGTACTTCAACTTTTGAATGCCGCTATTTTTCGTCCTTTGTTGCATTTTGGTAAGCTGTTCATTGGAAATTCGCACATTTTATATACTAGTTAATAGTTACTAGCTAGTTCCGGTTGTTATGTAATACATCCATGTTATAATAAGGTTACAATAACATGATTCAACAAAACATGCTTGTTCTTTTTGTATTATATATCAATGAAATTTATGCAAGTAAGTCAGTTAAGATATATATTGACTGTGTATGATTTTTATAATCAACAAGCCCATCGGACTTCTTGAATTTTGATTTTCACTGACCCGACATCAAAATTCACTGGCCTCGGTCTTCTGACCAGTGAGTTTTCGTGAAGACTGCATAAGTTTTAAGGTTTTCATCATTTATCTAGGTGAAAACACAATTGATCAAGGAATAAAGTTTTTTGGCACTTAAGGTAGGATTCTTCTCTGGTTTCTGACTAGATGAAACATTCAAAGTAGATTTGCTTATACGGCTTATATATTTAGGTGTAAGAGATTTAAAAGACCATATTTTTCTTTCCTCATCACAATTGTACAACTTTAAATAGAAATGGTAAACTGCATTTGAAAACTAGCAGGGACTATATTTTTGGCGGAACGGTGGCGTATGAAAATATCTTTTCTGCCTCTCAAAAGTATAATAGAACAATGAATTTAGTTATAATTTTTACACAATCGTAGGCTTGGAGAAACTTTCAAATGTAAGTTAAATTAACAATGAGGGACTATACTTTCAAAATATATCTAACTTATATGATTTTTCAAACAAACTAGAACTTTGTAAGGTTTTAAACGCTTCCTATCAAGGTGCAGATTTGAGCCAAAAATCCATAAAAAGAATTTTTCCTCTCTTAGTAAACGATCAAAACTTGTTGTTTTTGTATCATTTTGTACATTTATAAGACTACTTTATTATATGTGAAAATAAGAAAAAATTAAATATAGGAAGCATATGAAAATAACTAATATATCCTAAAAAATTAAGAAAAACAGAGAAAATTCGGATTAGCCAATATCCAGTTTAGTTAAATCATTTTTGTAAATTTGGTAAAATCATGCTATAGACCAGATATAGTGATATATTTTTATGCAAAAAGAACAATCATTTAACTTTTGAAATAGAAGTAGGTATCACATGATTGGCAACAGTTATTTTTTATTCTAAATGTCAAGGAAAATGATAATGACCTTGACCTGACCTTGTCTCTAATATAAAACGGTCAAATTTAATTTCACTGAAACTATCACTTACTGGTATTGTCACCTTGATTCTGTGAAAATTTCATTAATTTTTAAATATTAGAAATATGAGAAGAATCCTACCTTAAATGAAATCAACAATATCAAATTTAAGTTTGTCAGGAGCCCAACAGGCCAGGACATTGTGAGGATGGCTAGTATTTCTGTCACATTTATCATTTAGAAATGTGATAGTCCAAGGGAAGTAATTGTAATTTATGTAACATATGTTTAGTCATAAATAAACTCTTTTCTTTTTTTTTTTTGATTAGCTCAGGATGTAAAAATAGAATAATAAAATTTCGCTTATCAATAATACTAATGTTTAATCAACTGAATCGCCCAGTGGGGATCTGGGTTAGAATAGGTCCTCAGTACCCCCTTGCTTGTCGTAAAAGGCGACTAAATGGGGCGGTCCTTCGAATGAGACCGTATAAACCGAGGCCCCGTGTCACAGCAGGTGTGGCACGATAAAGATCCCTCCCTGCTCAAAGGCTGTAAGTGTTGTGCATAAATTTGCAGCCCTTCACCGGCAATGGTGATGTCTCCATATCAGGAAAATATTCTGGAGAGGGACGTTAAACAATATTCAATAATAATAATAATCTGCTGAATCTTACCATAATAGATAAGAATATGAACAGAAATCTATCTTCCTATCTTTGTTAATATGGCAGCAGTCACAGACAAAAAAAAACAGCTGCAACAGTAATTCCCATATTAAGAATCAAAGAAAGTATTTTATCGTTTAAATTTATGCATTGCTAATAGTACATGTACCAAGTTCTGTGAGGTCTGTCTTGTGTTATTTTTTTATAATGAGGGTTCTCTTTTACAAGGTACGTCACTGAAACATTGCTGAAAGGCATGTCATCTGAAGAGATCAAGAAACTACAGGTACAGATCAAAAGTAAGTACATTTTTGTTTAAAGTGAAGATTCCAAGGAACTACAGGTACAGATCAAAAGTAAGTACATGTCTGTATAAAGTGAAGCTTTTAAAGAACTACAGGTACATATCAAAAGTCAGTAGTACTACATTTTCTGTACAGAGTGTAGCTTTTTAGGTCACCTGAGTAAACTCAGGTGACCTATTGCTATCTGTTTTCGTCCGTCGTCGTTCGTCGTGCGTTAACATTTGAACATTTTCAGCTTCTTCTCTGAAACCGCTGAACCAATTTCAACCAATTTTGGCATAAAGCATCTATGGGTGAAGGGGAACAAAAATTGTGAATTTCGTGGTCCCTGCCCCCCTGGGGCCTGGGGGGTGGGGCAAAAACCACTAAAATTAGTGCAATCTTTAAAAATCTTCTTCTTTACTCCCGGACATCAAGCAGTCAAACTGTTGGTATGATTGTAATCAGCATTGAGTCCTCTACCAAAATTGTGAAATTCATGGCCCCTGGGTCAGGGGTTCTGGTGTTAGGGTGGGGCTCTATTGATTATATAGTGAAAATGCATTATTTCTTTGAAAATCTTCTTCTCTGCTCCTGGGTATTAAATAAACCAACTAAGTACATAGTTATGATGAGCAAGAGTGCCTCTACCAAAATTGTGAATTTTATGGCCCCAGGGTCAGGGGTTCTGGTGTTAGGGCGGGGCTCTATTGATTATATAGTGAAAATGCATTATTTCTTTGAAAATCTTCTTCTCTGTTCCTTAGTATTAAATAAACTAATTTATTACATAATTATGATGAGCAAGAGTGTCTCTACGTAAATTGTGAATTTTATTGCCCCAGGGTCAGGGTTATGGTGTTAGGGCGGGGCTCTATTGATTATATAGTGAAAATGCATTATTTCTTTGAAAATCTTCTTTTCTGTTCCTGAGTATCAAATAGACTAATTAAGTACATAGTTATGATGAGCAAGAGTGTCTCTACATAAATTGTGAATTTTTTGGCCCCAGGGTCAGGGGTTCTGGTGTTAGGGCGGGGCTCTATTGATTATATAGTGAAAATGCATTAAATTTTTGAAAATCTTCTTCTCTGCTTCTGAGTATTAAATAAACTAATTAAGGACATAGTTATGATGAGCAAGATTGTCTCTACATAAATTGTGAATTTTATTGCCCCAGGGTCAGGGGTTATGGTGTTAGGGCGGGGCTCTATTGATTATATAGTGAAAATGCATTAAATCTTTGAAAATCTTCTCTCTGCTCCTAGGTATTAAATAAACTAACTAAGTACATAGTTATGACAAGCAATCGTGCCTCTACCAAAATTGTGAATTTTATGGCCCCAGGGTTAGGGGTTCTGGTGTTAGGGCGGGGCTCTATTGATTATATAGTGAAAATGCATTAAATTTTTGAAAATCTTCTTCTCTGCTTCTGAGTATTAAATAAACTAATTAAGGACATAGTTATGATGAGCAAGATTGTCTCTACATAAATTGTGAATTTTATTGCCCCAGGGTCAGGGGTTATGGTGTTAGGGCGGGGCTCTATTGATTATATAGTGAAAATGCATTACATCTATGAAAATCTTTTTCTCTACTTCTGGGTAATAAGCAGATGAACTATTTACATATTTATGATGGGCTCTTCTTCCAGAATTGTGAATTTCAAGGCCCCTGGGTCTGGGATACCAAATTTTTTTTTTTTTTGGGGGGGGGGGGGGGCGCTACTTATATACTGAAAATGAATTGTTTGAAATATGCTCTTTGGTATTAATCAAACATTTTTGATAAGCGAGTGTGCCTTTTCAAAAATTGTGCAATGTGTAGACCTAGGGTCAGGGGTTCATGTGTAGTAGGAGCACTCCTGATTATCGCTGAATATTACTGATTAGTTGACATACATTTTTGTTCCCTTACCCTGCTTATGGGTATTAAGTAAACAAACCAAACAATTGCTAAGTGTATAGTTATGATTAGCATTGGTGCCTCTTTCAAAATCGTGAATGCAATAGCATCTAGCTTAAAACATGAACCAAATTCAATCATTTGAAAGTTGTTGCATGATGCTCAGGTGACCTATAAGGCCCGTGGGCCTCTTGTAAAGATCTAATTGGGAATATGTCTACATGAATGATGGACTTATGTCGCATCCAGGGGAAATTCTATTTCTAGTCAAAAAATGAGTAAAAATAAATCCTGTCAAGAGTGAAACCTAGACTGAATGTATTTTTCAAAAATCGCCAATCCCAAAAATTTTAAGAATTGTGACCTGTGATCTTAGTGATACATCTGCAGACTTGCAGGCTTTGACATTACAGGAATTGAGTCAATGTAATTTTTGCAACTATTTGGTTTAATTTTGCAGAGTTAAGACACATGGTGAAGTCTCAGGAACAGATACCACGGGAACAAATGGCTCAGCTACAGAGAAAACTGGACCAGTGTCGAAACCAGGAAAATAACCCAGAAAGTGAAGTGTTAGTATCTGTTATTGTATAGGGAGAGGGTCCCTCAAGTATCCCCATATAGGAACACTGCGCAGAGAGAATCAAGTGTATACCAGAAATAATACTGTATAAGTGGAAATTTTAGCTAGATGCAAATAAAGCTATTGTTTTTAAAAACTGGTATTTTATTTTTAGCAAGATATAATCTTAGCAGTTTTGAAATGCTCACTAAAGAAGCTATTACAAATAAAACACAATTGTTTTTTAGCAATATTCAAATTTAGCGATATCGGCACCTTTGCTGATAATGCAAAAATTAAATCATCGCTAAAACATCTGCTTTTATGGTATTTGTATAGGGACAGTGAAGTGTAAGTATCCTAAAATAGATTAGAGAGTGAAATGAAAGTATCTCAAAACAGAAAAAGAATGAAATCAAGGCAGTTATCCAGAAATAATGATATTGTATATGGAGAGTGGAGTGTAGGTATCTAAATACAGAAATTTTGTGTAGGGTGAGTAAAATTTAACGGAACACAAATTGTTTGGAAGCAGGAAAAAAGACAGTATAAATTACTTTTGAGGATTCAGACTGTAATTTAGCTCTTTCTGTTTTAATTAAGGTCTTCCGTTTCCAACGGAAGACCTTCTACTGATTCTGTTGGTAAAGATTATTAAGGTCTTCCGTCTTCAGCGGAAGACCTTATTGTTTTTCTTAGGTTTCTTTTCCACTATTTTTATTATTGTTTTTTTTTTCTTACCAATTTTGTGCGCGCGATTTCTCGAAAACGGCTTGATCGATTTTCATGAAACTTTCAGGTCTTATAGAACATCAAAAAATCTAGACATATATTTTTTGATTTTGATGACGTCACTTCCGGTTCGGAGTTTTCTGCGATTTAGTGATTTTTAGAGGGTCACTTTGTCCGGCAGTTTTCTCAAAAAGCACTCAACACAGAAGCATGAAATTTTCAGTGATGCTTAGAGCAACCTTTGGAGAAGTGCACTTAGTATATCACAACTACCGGAAGTGCGAAGCGCCGACGCTCGCTATGGCCCGAAAATAGTCCTTTTTACCACCTTTTCTACGATAACTTTTTACCTAGAAATATTTTGTTAAAACATGTAGAACAAAAAAGGTGTAGAATCACAAGATCTTTCAAATGATATCTCGAAAAAAGGGCTGGCCCTTTAAATTAAGGGCCTGGAGGGGCTGAAAGTTTTTTTTCCTTTATATCTCAAGAAGTATTGAAAATTTGTGATACGTCAAAGAAGCAAAGTTGTTCAAAATGTCAAGCTTAATCTATTGGAGTCGTCAAAATACGCCCGGCATCGTCACTTCCGGCAAAACCGGAAGTAGTTGGAAAACGCGTATTTCTGCCGTTCTTGACAAGTTTTTGGATAACATATGTCTCTGGGAGCATTAAAACTAATTTTCCGTCCATCGTCGTCACTTTCGGTCAAACCGGAAGTAGCAAAAAATAGCTTATTTTTGAATTATTTTACAGGGATTTTGAGGATTTAAACCATTTTTGGCGTTATTTCTCATTTCTGTTAAAAATAAAAGCTACTTCCGGTCAAACAGGACGGAAGACCTACTCGTTGCTTTGCAATGAGCTTTGCTCTAGTTAGGGTCTTCCGTCTCCAGCGGAAGACCCTTCTATTATTCTATTGTTTCTTTTTCACTTTTATTATTATTATTATTTTTTTCTTTACACATTTTTGTGCAGACGATTTCTCAGAGATGCTTGGGTGGATTGACTCGAAATTTTCAGGAACGATGTATCATGAACTAAACCTTATTCATATTTTTCATTTTTTAAAAAATCACTTCCGGTCGGAAGTTATCGCCCTTTAATCGAATTTTTAGTGACCATTTTGTCGACACAAAAACTCAAAAATGACAAAAGCTAGAATGTTGTCCTTTTCAGGACTACCGTATTTGGCCGAGTATAATACGCATTGATGTAAAATACGCACCCCCCTTTTTGAGTCTGAAACTTGGGAAAAAAACGCAGTTCGGATGTATTATACGCAACAGAAAAATTTACCAAGCGATGTTCTGAACTTTGAAAATCGCGGTAATTTGTTACGAAAATCGGCGCGAGGATTAAGTGTCAAAAATTTACTGAACACACTTTTTTCTTAAAATACACACTTTATAACTTCTCTTAATCCTGACATTCCATATCGCGGCAATCTGGAGAAAATTATTTATTCATTTATTTCAACAAAGTACAAGATAATATTGCGTAAAAGTATTAACAGATTTTTTTAAAGAATAGTTACGGTGATTTTGAAATAATGCGTCGCCATATTCTTAGATGAAATAATTTTATTTCAACAAAGCAAGAGATATTGTCGAAAGTTTTATCAGTTGTCATATTTAATTTTGGTTCTAGATAATCATGCTGAAAATTATCTGACAATATTTTAACAGGAAACGAAATTGAAACATCAAAGTATTTATTTCTTTAAGAAGACTACGATTTTCCTCTTCTAAATCTTCGCGGATATCTTATTTTCTAAATGATACCACTTTTATTAGGTCACCTGAGTAAACTCAGGTGACCTATTGCTATCTGTTTTCGTCCGTCGTCGTGCGTCGTGCGTCGTGCGTCGTGCGTTGTGCGTTAACATTTGAACATTTTCAGCTTCTTCTCTGCAACCACTGAACCAATTTCAACCAAATTTGGCCTAAAGCATCTATGGCTGAAGGGGAACAAAAATTGTGAATTTCATGATCCCTGCCCCCCTGGGGCCTGAGGGGTGGGGCCAAAACCACTAAAATTAATGCAATCTTTAAAAATCTTCTTCTTAACTCCTGGACATCAAGCAGTCAAACTGTTTGCATGATTGTAATCAGCAATGATTCCTCTACCAAAATTGTGAAATTCATGGCCCTGGGGTCAGGGGTTCTAGTGCTAGGGCGGGGCTAAATAAGTAGGTAGTGAAAATGCATTATTTCTTTGAAAATCTTCTTCTCTGCTCCTGGGTATTAAATAAACTAACTAAGTGCATAGTTATGATGAACAAGAGTGCCTCTACCAAAATTGTGAATTTTATGGCCCCAGGGTCAGGGGTTCTGGTGTTAGGGCGGGGCTCTATTGATTATATAGTGAAAATACATGAATTCTTTGAAAATCTTCTTCTCTGCTCCTGGGTATTAAATAAACCAACTAAGTACATAGTTATGATGAGCAAGAGTGCCTCTACCAAAATTGTGAATTTTATGGCTCCAGGGTCAGGGGTTCTAGTGTTAGGGCGGGGCTCTATAGATTATATAGTGAAAATACATGAATTCTCTGAAAATCTTCTTCTCTGCTCCTGGGTATTAAATAAACTAACTAAGTGCATAGTTATGATGAACAAGAGTGCCTCTACCAAAATTGTGAATTTGTTTGGCCCCAGGGTCAGGGGTTCTGGTGTTAGGGCGGGGCTCTATTGATTATATAGTGAAAATACATGAATTCTTTGAAAATCTTTTCTGCCTCTGGGTATTAAATAAACTAACTAAGTGCATAGTTATGATGAGCAAGAGTGCCTCTACCAAAATTGTGAATTTTATGGCCCCAGGGTCAGGGGTTCTGGTGTAAGGGCGGGGCTCTATTGATTATATAGTGAAAATACATTAAATCTTTGAAAATTTTCTTCTCTGCTCCAGGGTATTAAGCAGATGAACTACCTATATAGTTATGCTGGACAAGGGCCCATATCTTCCAGAATTGTGAATTCCAAGGCCCCAGGGTCAGGGTACCATAGAAGGGGGGGGGCTGTACTTATATACTGAAAATGAATGAATGGTTTGAAATCTGCTCCTTGGTATTAATCAAATATCAAGGCCTAAGGGTCAGGGGTTCATGTGTGGTAGGGGCAGTATTGATTATTGCTGAATATTACTGATTAGTTGAAATGCATTTTTTGTTCCCTTACCCTGCATATGGGTATTAAGTAAACAAACTAAGCAACTGCTAAGTGTATTGATATGATGATCAATGGTGCCTCTTTCAAAATTGTGAATGCCATAGCATCTGGCTTAAAACATGAATCAAATTCAATCACTGGAAAGTTGTTGCATAATACTCAGGTGACGTATAAGGCCCATGGGCCTCTTGTTAAAAGTTTTAGCATAATTTATATTTCATTTGTCAACTCTCAATTATTTAAACAAGAGGCCGATAAGTATAAGATAAGGTAAAATTACATTTAACAAGTGTTTAATTGTTTAAAGTGCCGTAATCAACACATGCTCACACATACGAAAGGTCATAAACCGACCCCCTTTTTAACAAAGAAAATAATCAAAGCAATTAACATGGCAGTAAATAATCAGTGCTGTAACTGTAAAAACATTGCTTTGGAGTCGGTAGACATTTAATTGCCCCGAAGGGTGTTGATAGGTAATTATCATTTGACCAGCGCACGTGTGTCACAACATTGGCTTCCTTTCATTGGGACGTATGGAGGGGTGTTATATATTGTTGCAGATTATCAATGAGTTATTTTAAACCTAAAATTAATATTTATTTTATTGTATTTCATTAAAAAATTATTTATTACTTTGTCTGGCAGATAAGGTGCATGTGCACTATCATTACGGAAACACGTGACATAAGCATGAGTTAACGTCTAAAAATAACATCGGTAATGGCGGCCTCCTCGGAGACAATCAACATGCAGCTCAAATTACTTTTAACTTACTTTTTCATGTTATTTTGGTATCAAAAGATTGTGAAAGTGACATTTTTAAGAAGCATACCTTCCAACAATAACTTTCCGAAGTTTAAGATATGGCAATAAACAAAAGAAATTGCATATGTCTCTAGGTAATACTACGGTATGTACGTATGATAGCCGTGTTTCACCTGAAAGGAAAACTTGTCAAAATCCCATTGTGATGTAAAATACGCATCCCTTTCTCACAGAAATTTATTTTAGGAAAAAAGTGCGTATTGTATTCCCCGAAATACGGTAATAGAAGATATATTGTAGTTTTGCACCTGTACTTTCAAATCTTCCGGAAGTGCCTA